AGATAGCACAGGAAGCAATAGCTTCTTTGCTATCTGGAGGTTTTTTTTTTTTTTAGTATTCTGACAGCTGTGGCCGTCAGAAGGATAAAAAAAAGAATAAAACCAGCATAGGAATGAATGGCTAGATTGCTATTGGCTATTTCAATTTGCAATATCCAATAGCAAGCTGGCTATTGCACCCGCCCTCTGCTGCTGCTGTCAATCACTAGAAGAGGACCTGATGGAGAACTTCAGGTCCCCCTCTGCTGATTGTCAGCATCAGTGTGCAGGTGCAATAGCTAGTCTGCTATTGGCTGTTGCAAATTGAAATAGCCAATAGCAATCTAGCTACGCATCCCTATGCTGTTTTTTTATTTTTTATTTTCCTGACTAATGGCGGCCCTGATGTCAGAAAAAAAAAAACAGCGCAGGGAAAGGTTTACTCTGCTCGATCGAGCAGAGTAAACCTTTCTGGGAGAAAATGTTTCTCTCACCCAGGCGGCCAAAAGCCACTATCTAATACATTCGGGAGAGTTGGGATGTCTGCATGTGTCGGGAAGGCCATTTGTAGTCTCCACCTGGAGTGCATGTAAGAGTGACTACATATGAGACTGTTGTCACCCTATATCAGTGTTTGAACAATTACTTTCATGGCAGGATCACCATTTTTTTTAATGGAGCTGAAGATTTAAAACGATTAAAAAATATTTTTGAAATTACATTAACATGTGAAAGCTTATGTGAGCCAGGAGCCGCTATCTAATAGCGGGAGACTCCCGCAGCGTCCGGGAGAGTTAGGATGTCTGCCAGTCCAGCAAGTAGATGATGACCCTGGATGATGGCTGAACAAAGATGACAGAAAAGCAGATGAAATAATTGTCAGGGGGGGTCTCTGTGAGAGGTAATACATCCTGGGAAGTGTTACATTGACACACCTCACAACACGCTGGACTTCCCATGAACAGTAAATGTGATTTTAGCTCTATTTGTAGTTGGCTATAAAGATTTTTTAACCGTTGCTGACTATAAATCATTGTATTTTATTAGGAATCCCCCGAAGCTGAAGAGGACTCCCCCACGGAATCGAGGACGGCCTCTGACACATCAGGCTCCCCCAGTTACCCCGGCACCGCCCCATCCAGCAAATGCTCGGTGCCCCCCGTCCACTGCGCGCACCGCTGCCACCACTCCCCATCCAGGTCACCCGCAGACAGCACGACGCACGCGCCTCCGCCCAGATCCGCCGCCCCCCGAAACACGGCGTGCTCGCTGCGAGCAGCGGAGGTGCACATGATACAGGAGCAGGAGGAGAATCCCGTGGTGCAGAGCAACGCCTAAATCCTGGAGCGGCACAACGCAAGGCGGGAACTGTCAGCTCCTGATTTCTGTGATTCGGGAATCCTGGTGATTGAAGTTTAGGATTGATTGTCCGTCGCACTCGCATATAATGTAGCTTATAATTTACACGAGTCTTTCCTCACTGTAGAGCTACAGAATAAAGTCACTTCTTCTGACAGTCACATTGTCACTGAACAAACAAAGTACAAACAAGTCAAAGCTTCCAGAACCGTCTGGAAAAATGTCAATTTTGGAGTATTTGTCTAGAAATACGCAAAGAAGATCAGACGCCGGGGGAAACGCTAGTTTGTCACTTTATCAGTTAACGAAGGATTTCTGATTCGGGTGCCTGGAGTCCGGGACAGCCAGCTACTAAGATAGAAACACTGAAGGGTGACGGCAGAAGAAGACCATGTGGTCCATCCAGTCCACCATTTTTTTTTCTTTCTTAGTATAGATCTCTGTTTGTCCCAACCATGTTCAAATCCTCCTACCCCTGACTGACTCACTACCACTGCTGGAAGTCTGTTCCCAACATCAACTACTCTTTCTGTAAAATTATCATTTCTAACTTTCCTCTTGAACTTTCCTCTTGCTAGTTTGAGGTCATGTCCCCCGTGTTCTTGATCTTGATAACTTGATCGGGATAACTAAAGATATATATAGAGGAATCAGGACCTCCTTCCCCCTGCTGGGGATCCCTCTAGTGATAATAAAGATCTATATAGAGGAATCAGGACCTCCTTCCTCCTGCTGGGGATCCCTCTAGTGATAATAAAGATCTATATAGAGGTATCAGGACCTCCTTCCTTCTGCTGGGGATCCCTCTAGTGATAATAAAGATCTATATAGAGGGATCAGGACCTCCTTCCTCCTGCTGGGGACCCCTCTAGTGATAATAAAGATCTATATAGAGGCATCAGGACCTCCTTCCTCCTGCTGGGGACCCCTCTAGTGATAATAAAGATCTATATAGAGGCATCAGGACCTCCTTCCTCCTGCTGGGGATCCCTCTAGTGATAATAAAGATCTATATAGAGGGATCAGGACCTCCTTCCTCCTGCTGAAGATCCCTCTAGTGACATGCAAGTTACGCATAAAGGTAACAGGAGGACCCAAACTCACAGTAACCAATCAGAGGTCAGCTTTCCTTCATCAGCTCATGGAGCTGATCACCTCAATCATTTTTGCCCTCCCCCCGCACACCCATGCAATAAACTTTTGAGTAATAAACTGTTAATATTGTCAGTGACTACCAGCAACTGTTGATGCAATAGACACTGACATATCAGTGGTCAGTGACTGGCTATATTAATTCCCCCCCCCAGCCTTGGTGGTCAGTGACAGGCACCATTA